CCCCCCCCCCCCCCCCAATTTATTTTCCCTGCTGTAGCAGTGGGAAGGGGACAGACTCAGAGCAAATCTCCAATCATTAGATTCTATACCTGGAATATAATAATAAATTGATATATTTTCCATATATAGAATCTAATTATTGGGGGTTGCCTTGTATTAAAGGTCATCTTTTATATTCAAGTAAATGTAGCAACTGAGATAAATTTTAATTGTTTTTCATAAACTTTGATATAACACTTCCCCTTTAACTGTGTGTTCTCTGTGAACTTGCTTGTACTGCCAAGTATACTCAAGATGATCTATTCTTGCTGTTTAGGAAAATGTTATGACTGTCTACTGCTGGTCTTTATTCCTTTGCACTGCAAAGTTAGTTAGTTATTTAATATGTTGCCTTTTTATACTTCAAGTACAAAAGGCTTGAAGCTACAGTACTAAAGTTTTCCAGAAATTCTGTTAGCTGTTACTTACAGTTTATTTTTTACATTAAAACAACCCTCTTTTAACTACAAACTATTTTATTTGGGATTTTACTATAGCACTGTTGCTTAGAATTTTTCTTATACAGATTCTTAGGAAGAATGCAGGTTATTGCTACATAATGTTGCAGAGCTATAGCTGTGTAGTAGGCTTCCTTTTGCTAGACTTACATATGAGTTTGGGTTTTTTTGGTTTTTTTCTGAGACATCTGTAGATTCTTGTGGTATTGTTATTTAAAGTGAAAGGGAGTCGATATTTTATTCCCTGAAGCTCCACTTTCATATCTTCTATGCTCAGATTTAATTCTCGTTGGCAAGAGCACCTGCCTTTCTTTGAAAAGGAAAATTAGTAATGGTGGTTCTGGACCTGAATGTCAAAGTGTTGGGTCAGTGTGTTCCAGCTGATGCATTAAGAAATTGTTGTGACAACAGAAGTTGAGTGAATATATTGGGCATTATTCTGATTAAATTTCTGTGTGCTGAAACCATAACGAAAAGAATGTAATGGCATAAAAGGTGGAAAATATTTGCTAGATTTTTAAGAGCTTTGCCAATGCAGGATATATCTTGGTGCCCATAAAATGTCTGTATTCTTAATTTTAAACACAGCAGCAGGCATATTATTTTAAACATGACATTTAAGTTGATGTGTTAGTTCAGCTCTGGGTCTTTTATTGAAAAAAGGAATCCTTTCACTTAACTATTGAGCTGTAACTTTTACAAATTCCTGCCATATAACTAAACCCTACTTTAAAAAAAACAGAAGGATACAATTTGAATTCTAATTACCTAAATGGAGATAATTGATTAGATAAGAATGTCTGAAAAAGTTAGTAACAGACACTGTAAAACTGTGGCTTGACGCATGTATATGTATGAACTCAAAAAGATCCATTTCTTTCCTCTTCTGTGTTCTTATGACAGGGTATTTTGCAGAATTTGCAGATGTGTTTAAATCTGACTGGACTGCTCTGTGAGCACTTTTGCTGTGGTGACCTTGAACTTGTAGCCTCTGGGCTGTCAACCATGCACCTTAGTACCCACACTCAAAAGATGTTACTGTATTTACCTGAATCCAAGATTTTTTTTTTTTTCTCCATTCAGCGTGGGGTGGAAGAAACCTTATTTTAGATT